GACGAAACTTGGATCTTCCACGGGTTGTGGAATTGCGGCGAGATGTATTGCCTCGTGATTGAGAGCGGCCGCGAGAAAATGTCCTGTTGGTTGTCGACCTTGATCGTGAAGTCGATCTTAAAGTCGAGTTTTTGGTTTGTTTTTTGTTTTGCCGCATGGCGGGTGCGGCCTTTTGAAAATGCGAATTTTTGTTGCGACATTGGTTATAGGTATGTCCTTGGTGTTTTTTGGCCACAGTTTTGTTGTTAGTGTTGTTGTTGTTGTTGCTGTAGTTGTTGTTGTTGTTGTTGCTCTTTTTTGGTCTCATTTTTGACCTTTGTTTTGGTCTGGAGGTTGAGCGGGAGCGAGAGCGAGATCGGGAACGAGATCGGGACCTAGACGTAGTTTTTTTATCAAGGTCTCCGGTAGTTTTTATGTTATGTTTTTTCATAAAAGTTCCGATTTGGGCTTTAATTTTTTCATTTATAACTTCTCCCAAAGTTGCTTCGATTGGTTCTTTGTTCTTTTTTATTTTTCTTTGTCTGGCTTCCTCTTGCTTTTTTAGTGTATTTTTTAGTACTAGCAAACCTTCAGCATAGAGATCCTTAAATGTATCAGCTCCGGTAGCAAAGGCGTTAGCATAGTTTGACACTTCATAGGGAAAATCATTTGACATACTTATTTCATTTTTTTGAATTTCTATCCCATTTAAATAGTTTTTTAGTTCATCGATGTGTTTGTTATATAGGTTGGTTGTATGTTCGAATAGATTGTTATAGTATTGGAGGTTTAAAAGCAGAGTTTGTTGTTTTTCGAATTCAGTAAGGTCCAGTTTTGTAGCATCTTTTGGAAATTGAAATGTAGGTGTTTTTAGACGTCTGGCTTTTTTAATGTTTTGTTCTTCAATTTCTTCCTTTAATTTGTCGAGTTCAACAAATTTATGTTTGTATTTAATTAAATTATGCCAAAAATATTTAAACGGTTCTTGGCACATAAAAGGCAATTTGGGTAGAGCATAGTTGAGAAAATTTTTATAGGATGAGTGTAGCCATTGTTCATTAACACCATCCATAGTCGCATCTGCATAGTTATCACCATCATCATCATCATCATCGTCATCATCATTATTTTCATCTCCTTCATCTATTTGTACTTTCTTTCCTTTTTTATTTGGGTCACCTATCTTAGTAATATTAGAAATAGCAGTGTTAGTAGTTGATATAATGTTTTGAACGACAATTTGGTTCTTATCTATTGCTTGGTCAAGAGCGATAGCTAGTGGTTCGTTTAGAGTAGGGTTAGGGTTGTTTAGTGGTTCCGAACTTATTAGCATGTCCGTATTGTCATCTGTTATGTAGTCTGCTGGTTCT